AGGGAAGAGGGAGGATTATGACATTTTTGGTAAATCCTAAAATTTTAAACCAGAGTGGCAAGGAACAACATTCATTTGACTTTGGAAGATACTATATAACTTTTTGGGGGGAAAGATTGAAGGCAAAAGGAGAAGATAGCTTCACCAACTCAGTGAACATGAATCTGAGCAAACCCCAACAGATAATGGAGGACAGGGGATCTTGGCATGCTTCTGCCCATGGGATTGCAAAGAGCTGGACCTGACTGAGCTACTGATCAACAACAGCAACAATATAACTTTCATTTACTTCTATTTACCTTTCAAACAGAGCTCGCTAAAATGAACATCAACACTCCCAGCACGTATGACAGCTTTGTTTGTATTCAGTCTCTTCTGACTCTTTTTGGCCCCATGGACTGTAGCATGCCAGGCTCCTCTGTCCATGGGATTCTAGGCAAGAATACTGGAGTGGGTTGCCACTCCTTCCCCAGGGCATCTTCCCAACCCAGGGATCGAACCCTCGCCTCCTACGTCTCCTGCATTGGCAGGTGGATCCTTCACCACTATAATAGCTTTGGGGAACATGTCTGAGATTCTTTTTGGCTAACTGAGCAAGTTCAAGCCCTTATGAGTTTTCTTTTCTGAGAGCAACAAGGGGCCAGACCTAACTTAGACAATCTATCCTTGTATCTTGTCCTGAAAAGCCCTGAATTTACACATCTATTTAAAGTATTTACACCAGTTCATACTTGAAAATCTGCCCCAGACGGCATCATGCCAGAAGCGGATGCCTGTTGCTTCAGAGGAGTGGGGGATGTATTCCTGTGTGTGAGCACAATGGTATGGCTAATGGGCAAGAGGGGACATTCCTTCCCAGGGCTTTACTGAGGTCAAATGAAACTTTGCCCCGTTCTTTACCCATGTGGAAAACCAATGTGTCTAAGCCAAGTGGGGGAAGTGGGAACTGAGAGCAGGCAGGCGAATCACCCTGAATGATTTGAAACTGTGTGGCAGGCAGAGTGGCATCATTCAGCCCCACATGGTTCTATACCCCTTTGCCATCTGCAGCCTCAAAGCTGTCCAGCTCACGGCCGGGAAGAGAATCAAGCTGACTATGTTCATCACATCCAGAGGCAGAGTAAGCTAGAGCCTCAGCTGGGACAGATCCAGTTTCCTGCCTGGACTTGATAATTTTGTAAAGAGAGCTCAGTGACATGGCAAGGGTTAATTACAAGCCTTTAGAAGTCCCTAGACAGGGAGGCCTGGCGTGCTGCAGTCCATGGGGTCTCGAAGAGTCAGAAACGACTGAGCAACTGAACAGCAACAGAAATCTTCGACTGGCATTTGTCTTTTAGAAACACAGTAGGTCATCTGTATCTGAGGGTTCCGCCTCCATGGATGCAACCAACCACAGATCAAAAATACTCAGAAAAATGAAAAATTCCAGAAAGTCCCCAAAAGCAAAACTTGAACTTGTTGTTTGCTGGCAACTATTTAGGTAGCATTTACTTGTATTTACAACGACTGACTTAGCATTTACGTTGCAGTACGTATTGAACCTGCCTGCCAATGCAGGGGATGGAAGAGATGCAGGTTCGATCCCAGGCTCAGGAAGAGTCCCTGGAGGAGGGCATGGAAACCCACTCCAGTATTCTGGCCTGGAGAATCCCATGGACAGAGGAGCCTGGAATACTACAGCCTACAGGGTTGCAAAGAGTTGGACATGACTGAAGCGACATAGCATAGCACACAGCACAGGTATTATAAGCAACCTAAAGATGATTTGTAGTATATGTGAAGATGTTCACAGAGTACATGCAAAAACTCAACATTCAGAAAATGAAGATCACAGCATCCGGTCCTATCACTTTATGGCAAATAGATGGGGAAACAATGGAAATAGTGACAGACTTTCTTTCTGGTCTCCAAAATCACTGCAGATGGTGACTACAGCCATGAAGTTGAAAGATGCTTGCTCCTTGTAACAAAAGCTGTGACAAACCTAGACAACATATTAAAAAGCAGAGACATTACTTTGTCGATAAAGATCTGTCTAGTCAAAGCTATGGTTTTTCCAGTAGTCATGTATGGATATTAGAGTTGGACCATAAAGAAAGCTGAGTGCCAAAGAACTGATGCTTTTGAACTGTGGTGTTGGAGAAGACTCTTGAGAGTCCCTTGGACTGCAAGGAGATCAAGCCAGTCATTCTTAAAGGAAATCAACCTTTCTTAAAGGAAGTACTAAAACTGAAGCTGAAACTCCAATACTTTGGCCATCTGATGTGAAGAACCGACACATTGGAAAAGACCCTGATGCTGGGAAAGATTGAAGGCAGGTTGAGAAGGGGATGACAGAGGATGAGATGGTTGGATGGCATCACCAGCTCGATAGACATGAGTTTGAACAATTCCGGGAGTTGGTGATGGACAAGGAAACCTGGCGTGCTGCAGTCCATGGGGTTGCAAAGAGTTAGACATGACTGAGCAACTGAACTGAACTGAATGCCATTTTCTATCACAGATTTTGGTATCCTTAGGGTCCTGGAACCACTCTTCTCACTAGATCCCAAGGACAACTGTATTTACACAACCGCTGTGTGTATGTATGTATTGAGATCAAAGCATTTAACATTTTCTCTCCAAGCTCTGAACGTCTCCCAAAGTACAAAGGAATGTGAGATTCACCAGGCCTACTTGGAAGCTATGACATAGGTTCATTTTAAGATTGAATTGCAGGACAGCTGTCATTCCCTGACCTACCCCCCTGCCTCCCCACCGCCAGGTGGTGGGAGAAGAAAACTAGAACTGTTTTCTGAGTTCTGTCCTCAGAACTCCTTTCTTTTTCTTTCTGGCTGCACCCTGCGGTATGTGGGATCTTAGTTCCCTGATCGAAACCACGCCTCCTGCAGTGAAAGGAGGAATCTTAACCACTGGACCACGGAGGAAGTCCCCAGAGCCCCTTTCTCAACCCACTGCCTCTCCTTTGCAGACCCAGTAAGGGAATCCAAGAGTCCAAAAGGGCCAAACGACTCCTCTGCTCAAGCACCGTAAGACAAGTTTCTGATTTTTTCCCCTTTGTTTACTGTGAGAGGGAGGCAGGAGGGAGATGATTTCCACCCCCCAACTGTTCCCCAGCCCCAGATTTCTCTCTAAAAAAATGCAGCCAGACCACATACCCCTCAGCATCCCTGGACTCTACTCCTGGACCCAGCCCCCCTTCACATGCCTCTGGGGCATGGGAGAGTTTGAAACTGGCAGAAAGTCTTGGAGGTGAAAGACAAGCCCCAGAACNACTAGGGCGGGGGGGGGGAGGGGGTGGGAAGCCCTGCAGGTGGGGTGGCCTGGCAAACTGCAGCTTGGGGATGCTGTGCCTTCATTCTGCCCTTACAGCCTGCGAGAATCTCCGGATCTCTTCATCAGACACCCCTGCTCCCCAGAGTTAGGCTGCTCCTGAGCCTCTGCTGGAGGGGCTTCTCAAGGAGGCATTTTTATTACCAGATGAGTGATGGAGTAAGTGTGTGTGCGTTTGTGTTTTTTCTTCATCAATCGCATCAGATAATATTCCCTCCTAAATTAAAAAAATATATATTTTCTTAAAAACCAAAGTAATGTGGGTTCATGGCAGAAGATGTGAAAAATGCAGAAATGCATCCCAGAAGAAACTAAAATCCACCTATGATTTTACCACCTCGTTTCATCAACATTTAGTTGAATAACCATCAATCCCTACTCTATTCTTTTATGGAATATAAATTCCAGGATGACAGAGATCTTGCTCACATCTGCAACCCCATGCTCTGAACACTGTGCTAGCTCATGGCTATGTGCAAATATATAGACTGGCTGGATCAGTAAACTCTAGAAGAATAGTTCGAATTGAAATAAGTTGTCATGATATAGTAGAGACCAGCAGAAATGGAGTTGCTTTGGGTGTGGCTGACTTGTGACTCAGCTGCTCATTGCTAATTTGCTGTTCTCCTTGGATCAGTTACTTGACCTCTCTGGGCCTGGATTCCATCTTCAGTAAAACACTCAATCTAGTTAATATTTATGAAGGGCTTATTAGGTGCTAAGCATGTGATAGGCTCTCTACACGTATTTCTCACCATAAGTCCATGAGAGGTACTGTCTACCACACTTACGCCCCAGGAAATAGAGGCATACAGTCACATAGCTAAGTGGAGAGCAGCCGGACTCTGGGCTCCAGTGGATGCCTGGCCTTGGGGTGACAGGACTTCTAAAGGCCTCTCCCAGCTCTGGTGCTGAGCAAGAGAGGAGTGGGACGGGGAGATGGCTGGGACAATTACGCACGAGGCGCTCAATTGTGGAGCAAGGTCCAGGTGATTACTACTTAGAGGTCAGAGAGCAAAGTTCTTAACTAGACAACTTCCTCCTGACTACTGTGAACTTGAGAATCCCGGCCGGGCATTCCTGGAGCCTAATTACAGGGCCGTTCAGCCAGCCCCCCATCATTCAGAGGCAGGTTTCTGGGGGATCCTGGTGTGTTCCCCTTTTCACCCCTGCTCATCCCCAGGACAGTGCCCAGGGTCAGGCAGGGAAGTAATCAGAAGTCAACCTGATCATTCCTGACCGTGAGCAGCTGTGGATGCATTTGGTGGGAGAGGAATAATGGCATACTTGTGGGATGCTTAGCTGGGATGTCAGTGGGCAGAGCACTTCAGTCCCCCTGTTCCTGCCCCCGCCAGATAAAAGTGTGGGCTCATCACCTCTGTTTTACTTGTATCCACGGCAACCCACCCTCCTTTACGGTGAGGAAGAATGGGCTTCGGTAAACAGACCTATTTGTGTGACTCCTGTTACTCATTTGAAGCCATGTCACTCCTTTTTCCACTGTGGTCTGTGTGTCTGAGTCACAGGGAGCCTAAACTGGCTTCTCTGAATTGATGGCTCCCTCCCAGCCGGTCTTGACTGACTGCCAACTGAGCAGGGCGTAGCTTACCAACACATTTTTTTTTTTTTAAGCCGGACTGATTCATAGAAACTCCTTTAAAACACAGTGAAAAGAAACCGCCCATCACACACCCCAGCACACCAGCTCAGGAAACTTATAACCTCGGGAGGCCAGCCCTCTGCTCACTGTGATCACAAACCTCCAGGACAGCGGACGCCTGCCACCAGCTGCTGCCAGTCAGGGCGCCTCGGTTGGTCACCGGACCCTCAGGTAGGACAGTTCCCGACACTGCCCGAGAAGCCCAGAGAACTTTTCTTGCTTCCCACTGCTCTCCTTCTGACCTCATTGAGGCTTTTTCTTATTTCCTGGGCTATTTTTCTAGGACTCCTTGAATTGAGCCCTTCAAGCTTTTTAGCTAAAAGTGGGCATTGATACAACTCTTAAGGTTCAGTAAAATCTAGTTTGATGGGGACCCCGGGGGTAGGGGCAATCATGGGTCCGTCTGGGCCGTGATTATGTCTTGCAGGAATGGGGTTCTTGTTCTGAAAGTGTGCTGGGAGCAGAGGATAGCGTTTTCTTTCTGGAGGAAACCCGATGTACCTTGAAACCGGACAGCACATCGGGCTGCTTGCCAGACTTTGTCAATTGCTCTGTTGTGATTTAAATTGCTCAGGACTTGAATCGTTTCTCTGTTTGCCAGTCTTTTGGGGGTGAGGGTGGGTAGCATCTGCTTTTCAGTTTTATTTTCATGGTGGCTTTTACTGGGCTGTCCTTTGGCTTGTTCATTTCACTTTTGTTTAAGTGTAAATGTTTGGTTTTTTTTTTTTTCTTTCCACGGGATAGGAGGAGAGCGGGTGAGCTTGTTTAAAGAAAACTGTTAGAGGGAGAGAAGGAGGGAGAAAGAGGAAGCTTTCTCTCTTGAAGTGGTGTTTGAAATGTAACGCAGGAGGGGCTCCTGGTGCCTGATGTGGATTTCAGAGCTCTCTCCCTGGGCCAGATGTGGAGGGTGGGAGAGACAGGGAAAAGTTGGGTTCGGAGGGCAGGGTGGAGTTGGGGGAACTTCATCTGTTCTTATTAAAAATAAAACAAAACACTGCATCGCTTTATGCTTTTATCCCAGAAGCAGCCAAATTCTGTGCAGAGCAAAAAGACAGCCTATCAGAAATGTTAAAATAATTTTTATTTCTTAGGTAGATGTGAGATTTTTTTTTTTTTCTCCTGCATGGCAGGCAGTGATTGTTTTGGAACGTTTAACTTCTCACTCTTTCCAAAACATGGCCGTACAAACGCAAACACTCATGCTAATCATGAAAGGATCTGGAAAAGGAAGAAGGGTGATTTCTATTTGCTTTTTCTTCTCAAGGTTAGCATGTTGGTTGGTTGAGGTGTGGCCCATTTCAACACAGATACTTGTGTGTCTCCCTGCCCCGCCACCCCACTCTACACACAACACAAGGAGAATGACAGGATACAGCTTGCCTGATGAAATTAGGCTTTTTCTTCAGAAATGTGATTCGTTGGAAGAGAAGATTCAAACATAATCAGCCTGGGTACAGGCAAGGTGCCTACTAAAATTGCCCTCCAGGGGATGATTCAGTTAGTACAAGGGCAACTTTTCAAGGTGCAGGGGACTCCCACCTTTGCTTGAAATGTTGATTATTTTTAGATTACATTGACATGGATTGGGGAGGCCATTGTCATTAATGATATCCTGAGAAGCTAGAAACAAATCTTTGAGTCTGCGCAGGCTACAACTAGTAAGAAAGATTTGACCAGTCAGGAAACAGAAAACACTGATGGCTGTGGGCACGTAAACCATCCTGAATCTCACTATTTGTACGGTGTCTCACTTTACGCTGGAGTTTATGCATGAGAAAAGTGTGCTGAGTGTTACTGCCTGGAGTTTGAGGGCAATTGAAAAAATGCTGTTCTTATTCCTGCTTTCCCATCTTCCTCCAACAAGTAGTGAGAGAGTTTCTTGGCTGTAGGGGTTTTTCTGGATTTCAGCTATGTATGTTCGACAAGACTGGACTGGGAGTTTTTTTTTTTTTTTTCCTGCTGCTGTCTCCCAGCCTTGGGGGTGGATTGAATTCCACCCCAGACTCTGAGGACTGGGGCAGGGGTTTGGGGCTGGCCGGAGGGCCACAGGATGTCCGGTCTGGTGTCCTGGTCTGAGGACGCCCCAGATTTTACATTGTTTGAGGATACAAAACTGTCCTGGGAGTTGGCAGGGGGCCTTCAGGGACCAACACAGGGTAGATCACATCCCAGGGCAGACGGTGGCTCCCTCCCAGGAAGGGAAGAGACGTCCTCAGGCCTCAGAGGGGAAGAGACATCCTTTCCACAGACCGCAGAGAAGACTGGGGCTGTCTCCTCTCTTCCTGCTCCCCTCCTAGGCCAGACTTGGCCTGTCCAGTTGCCAGAGATGTCCAGACTCCAGGGGACTGAGGGACGGAGCTCCACAGAGCCCACCCTGGGGGTGCAGACCGTCTTCGCTTGGTCTGCGTGGCGCTGGGGGTGTCAGCTGGTACCCGGACCCACTGGGACCGGTGGAGGGAAAGCAGCCGGTGCCTCAGAAGGCTGAGAGATGAACCAGAACAGCTTTTCTGTAGGCACCTTGGTGTCAGATAGCGAGTATATCTGAAAAACGGCCTCAGAAAAAGGTACAGGGCAAATATAGTCACATGTCATCCTTGATTTGTGCACTGAGTTTGGTAGAGATCTTGGAGGTCAACCTGTTCATTCTCCTGCCATATGCAGAAATCTTATTTTCACACCACCTTGGATGGATGAGTGTTTTATGCTTCCCTAAAATTTCCAGAGAAGGGACTTCGCACCTTAGAGAGTACTTCCACACACACCCCGCTTCACTGGACAACTCTCATCACTAGAGTTTCTTAGATCCAGCAAAACTTGGCTTGTCTATAACTTCTATACTTTCTTCCGAGTTCTCCAGTTCTGAAAATATCTATTCCATTTTTGCTGTTGCTGTTGATCCATCCAATGCTCCTCATCTTCTAAACACTCAACTCTTATTTAGTATTTGATGATAAAACTTGATAGATCTGTGTTGCTGTTATTACTATTATGACTACCTAAGATTCAGAAAGAGCAGGGAGCATTGCTGAAGCTTTGAGGCTATGTACATACTCATCCCTACCCAGGTGATCTGATTCTGAGGTCTCTTTTTTTCTAAGCAAGGTGTGTGGTTTCTTCTTAAACTGACCGCATACATAGCTGCCTAGCACAAAAGCTCAGAGCCACCTAGGACTCTCAGATGTAGGTACTCAGAGGGACACCCGGTGACTACCACAAGGTCATGGTTAAATCAGTGCAATGCCTGAAACACAGGCTTCTAACTTGGCCTTGTGGGGCTGGTCCCTTAACTTGGTCCATAGTTCATGGAGCCCACGCCTTGCCACTGTTACTTCCTGTAATGGTAAGCACAGCAACAGGCTGCCAGTTAACATAACCTCAGTCTATTTGCCAGCAGGCAATCTGGATGTCCAGCTCCCTGGAAAGGACTCATAATCCTTAAGTATTGTAGAACTGGAATTTTCTGACCATAAACTTCCCTTTTCCCATACTACTTTTAGTTCTGCCCAGATGACCCTGGATTCCTATTCAGTAACCAAGGGAGCAGAAACATGCTTCTAATTAGGAGTTTGCTTGGATTCCCAATACCCTATACGCCATATACACATGTCTCAAAACCACGCTAAGTAACACTTCAGTTACAAGTCATCTCTCTCAATTTAATTGGGAGATCCGTAGACACTGAACCACAAAGATGAAAGCAGAGCCCTTGTGGGGATTGTTGCTTCTCTCTCTTCATTTTAAACACAACATTTGGGTCCACGTTTTCTTCTCTGCGGGCTTCCCTCGTGGCTTGGAGGTTAAAGCATCTGCCTGCAAGCAGGACACCCGGGTTCAATCCCTGGGTCAGGAAGATCCCCTGGAGAAGGTAATGGCAACCCACCCCACTGTTCTTGTTGGAGAATCCCATGGACAGAGGAGCCTGGTGGGCTACAGTCCACAGGGTCGCCAAGAGTTGGACACGACTGAGCAACTTCACTTCCTTTCTTTCCTTCTCTGCTGTGGAAATGGCATTTCTCTTTAACTAAATTGGACTGCTTTGCTGGTGCCTCTGGCCTTACCGAGGATGTGGCAGTTTTCATATTTCCCAAGCCTGTTTCATGAATTCTATCTTCCAATGGGGTAATTAAAATTAAGAACCCGTGAGGCTTGGGTTGAAATTGGTGGTTGGAACCCTTCGGTAGGTGCCAGCTGGCTAAATAGGAGGCTTGAGAGGCTTCATCTTGTCCCAAATCTGCCATGCAGGACATTTGCCTTCTCGATGCAGGGAACTGAGCTTGGTGGTCTCCATGGACCTTTGTGGCTCTGAGACCCTATCGTTCTAAGATCCGATAGTTCCTGTTCTGAGAAATCCTATGGCTCATGCTAACAGCAAGTTTAATCCATAAACACTGGTAGGAAAGTGAAATGATGTAACATGTCTGCATGGAAACAGGAGGATGGAGGACCCAGGCGGACTCCTCTGCTTCATCCGCTTAGAGATTCTCCAGGTATAGGTGTCCACAGGCTTTACCGTTGGGTAGCAGCGAGCATTCACCCAGCTCATTCACCCAGAAGAAAAGAAAGAGGCTTGATTTATGAAACCTGGGCAGTGCTGGGTTAGTGAAGTTTTGTGGGGACACTGACAACTGCAAGTGATCCACCAATGAACCCAGACCAGGCTCCAGAGACAGAGACGCGAAGGTGGTTCTGGGAAAGGAGCCTCACCCTCTTTTCAAGAAGGGTGGGGCCAAAAGTGTGGATGGGAGCGGGTGGGGAGCTGGGCTTCGAGGAGGAGAGGGGAGGTGCCAGGAGGAAAGGGGTGGGGAGCTGCCCGTTTCCCCAGGAGGAAAGGGGACTGCCTGAGGTTTCTGAGGGCTGTGTGCTGGCTGAGGGAGGGGGGCAAATGGAAAGGCCTAGAAGAGGGAGAAGAATTGATGCTTTCAAACTGTGGTGCTGGAGGACTCTTGAGAGTCCCTTGGACTGCAAAGAGATCAAACCAGTCAATCCTAAAGGAAATCAGTCCTGAATATTCATTGAAAGGACGGATGCTGAAGCTGAAACTCCCATACTTTGGCCACCTGATGGGAAGAACTGACTCACTGGAAAAGATTCTGGTGCTGGGAAAGATTGAGGGCAGGAAGAAAAGGGGGCAACAGAGGATGAGATGGTTGAGTGGCATCACCGACTCAATG